TAGAAGAAATATGAAAGTAACCTTTGGTCAATTCTAACTGTCACTGTATTCCACTCCCACTGGATTGTAAACTCTTTGAGAGCCCATATGCAGTTGAATAATCTCTGTATATCTCAAAAGATTTAACAATATGCCTTAATTTTATTTATTTTTTCCCCCAAAGCCCCAGTAGATAGTTGTTATGTCCTAGCTGCACATCCTTCTAGTTGCTGTATGTGGGACACAGCCTCAGCATGGCCGGAGAAGTGGTGCGCGCCCGGGATCCGAACCCGGGCCACCAGCAGCGGAGCGCGAACACTTAACCACTAAGCCACAGGGCCGGCCCAACAATATGCCTTAAACACGTAGGTTTTCATTAAATGTTGTCTAGAATATCCTTATCAATAGTTCATTCTAACTCTGTTCACGTGAATGCAAATAACTGCTTTGAAAAAAGCAATTGGAAATCAAAGCAGGAAGTTGCACAAATATTTGTATACCCATGTTCATAGCAGTAATATTCACAATAGCCAAAAGGTAGAAGCAATCCACGTGTCTATCGACAGATAAATGGATAAACAAAATGTGGTGTATCCATACAACAGAATATCATTCAGCCTTAAAAAGAAATTGACACATGCTACAACATGGATGAACCCAGAGAACATTATGCTAAGTGAAATAAGCCAGGCACAGAAGGACAAATATTTTATAATTCCACTTATTTGAGGTACCTAGAGAAGTCAAATTCATAGAGACAGAAAGTAGAATGGTGGTTGTGAGGGGCTGGAGGAATAGGGAGTTATTGTTTAATGGGTAGAGTTTCAATTGGGGGAGATAAAAAAGTCCTAAAGGTGGATGGTGGTGGTGATAGTTGCAGAATATTAATTATCAATGTACTTAATGCCAGAGTACACTTAAAAATGGTAAATTTTACATTACATATATTTTACCTCAATAACAATAAAACAAAAAGCAACTAGGTGTAACATCCTTTCACAAGCCCCCATCCTTCAGTAGTGCTTTTAGCTAAGCTGTTGCTTTTTAATTTGAATACTTGCACAGTTATAATTTCACTGTAACTTAAAATGTTATGCAAAATGTGGATTTGCATAACATAACATTCGATGGTGGAGCTGCCACACAACCTATCACTATAACAGGCAGCATCATGTAGTGGTTAAGCAGTACAGGCCGGAGCCAATCTTGGAGCTGGATCTCAATCCCAGCTTCACCACTGTTGTTGAGGGTCACACAGATTTTACAGTGTCTTAGTTTCGCCATATGTCAAACTGGAATAATCAGAGTATCTATCACAAAGGATAAATGAAGTGCTTAGAACAGTTCCTAGTGCACAGTAAGTACCATATATGTGTGAGCTACCATTATTACATATTTATAGACTATAATTTGCATTGTAGGGCATTGTTTCTCAAAGTGCAGTCCATGAATTACCTGCATCAGAATCATCTGGGTAGTTTGTTTAAAATGCCGATTTCTAGATCTATCCCACATCTTCTGAAACAGAATATCTGGATATAGGTTCCACTGTATAAAACCTACTGCTGCAAGGAAGAAAAAGTGGAATGGGAATGGCAAGCACCTGAATTCAGATAGTGAGCAGAGGCCATCCAGGAATGGAGAACCAGGGGCACTGGCCAGAGGATACATCTCCCAAACTTTCTAGATGATGAGAATCACAGAATTTTCTGACTCAGATTGTGCCTCTTCTGCAAATGTCTTTTCAAAAAAGTTAGTCTTTTCAAAGAAGTTGGGCAAACACTGCTCCAGAGATTCCCACAGATTTCTAGTATTCCCTAGTTCTGCTTTAAATTCCAGGTGTGGCTAGACGGCCTGTGCTCTAGGAAGAAGTTCAAGGTACCAAGTGAATCCGCTCACTGAAAAGCACTTAAGCACTACTGAGCAGTAGGTCACAAAAGATGTGGTCTTGTTCTCTACCCATAAAGAACTTGCTATATAGTGAACTGTAAAACCCGTACTTTATTATCTTCTTACCTGGAACTTTAAATTGTGAACCAAGTCATAGACTTCAAAGTTGGTCTAGAGCAATGGTTATCAAAATGTGGTCCCTAAACCCAGCGGCATCAGCATCAAACTGTTAGAAATGTAAACTATCAGGTCTTATCCCAGAAGCTCTGGGGTTGGGGCTCAGCAATTTGTAGTTTAATAAGCCCTCAAGGTGATTCTGATATTCTCTCAAGTGTGGGAACCACTGGCCAAACAAAAGGAATCTCCTTCAGCACTTTCTCCACCATAACGTAGATGAATACTTCCAGTACTTTGCTTCCCTCCCAGTCTATTAATCTCTCCCCTCCCCACCCCATATCCAATTAATCAGATTCACAAAAATAATCTATACATTTCAAAAAGAACATAAAACTTTATTAAGAACATCTTATATTGTCATCAGATACAGCCAAAGAAAAAGGGGTAAAGAAACAGGGAAACTTCATCTTCCCATGTGCTACTGCCACCTCAGAACAGACTCGTGTGGATGGCTAGATTACAGATGGCAACAAATGCTCTATATAAATAAATTCAGTAAGTAACACAATGCTCCCTTTCTACACAGAGAACTGGGTTTACTCTTTAACAAGCTTTCATATAGTGCAACAACTATGAAACAAGACTACATCTTTAGGAGCTATTTCTTAATAGAATACAAAGCAGTTTAGTAGCTTTATGTTATTTCATATAAATTTTTAAAATGGAAAATTCAGAAAGGACATTTTAACCTTCCCAATTAATTTGTACTTCTGAGTTTTTAGATTTCTCAGAACCAGTTCAATAACCACACTTTAATAGATGAATTGCTCATCTACAGTGACAACTGACAAACTAGTTTTGTTCTTTTAATTTTGCAAATCAAGATAACCAGGTCATCCCAGCTTTTGCTGATTCTGAAGTTCTTATAGAAAAACCTGATTCAGAGTGCACGTGAGAAGAGGTACCAAAATAGCTGCATCTGGACTGGTTTTCCTAGAGGGGGAGGTTGGCTATTGAGCACAGCTGATTTTCTCAGACTCTGGGGTTCCCCCATGTGGTTCTTTTATTTACTGTAGTAATGGAAGGAGCAGAAGGAACGACAGGGAATCTGTTCAAATTGCCAGTTCAGACAGCTCTCTGCACTGTTTATGGAGAAATGAGTGATGGCATCCATTCAAACTACAGTACCCCTGCTGCAAGTGTGGTGACACGCTTTTCTCTGGAGGCGCCAGGCCAAATCTAACCCCATTTCTTGAGAAAATGCAGTCTACCTTTTAGAAAGGAAGACTATTTACTGTTAAGGCTTACCATGTTAACTATCATAAGGCTGAAAACGTAACTTCTAATGCAGACTATATCATTTGTGTTTACAGTCAGTGAATTAACCAATAAGTGAAGGTTTGTGGAGGATTGGTCAAAAGGTGGGATTGGGGGTAAAATTCAGGTTGAGTACTATCACTTATCACAAATCGCATCAAGCTCTTTAAAAAAATAATGCATTTTTATCATAAATATTTAGAGCAGATACTGTCATTAAAATCAATATCTAAGTCAGAAGTCTGTCTTAAATGGTGAAAATATTCCAACAAACTTCTAATAGATTTCAAATCTTCCCAGGAGTACATAGTTTATAAATTAGTTTTAAATGGAAAAAAATATATTTTGAATGGATAAATCACCACTTTAACAGATCATAAATAAGGTCAAGATGTTGAAAATAAATTAATACACAAGTTTTTGCTTTCACTTTAACAACAAAAACTAATATGGTATACTTTTATAACAGGTATAACCAGGTTTTTATAACTGTGCATTTGTTACCCGCCCCCCCCACCCCCCGCCCACGCTGAATCTTCTTCTTACATATCCTACACCCAGGGACAGACGTACACAAGTGAGACACCCCAATGTGTGACTCTGGCTGCTGTACACCATATCCTTAATTAGAGTGACAGTACAAATGCTGGTCAGGCCCTACTATTAGTAATTTGTCAACCACTTTACAAGTTAATTACATTCATGATTAATTAAGTGGATTAGGTTCCCAGGTGAGCTTTCTGTGGTAGTGTTCACAGGGAACCTAACCACTGTTTCTGTGAGAAAATGTGCCCGAGTCCCAGAAGCTGATTAAAAAACTTTGGAATATAAACCATATATGGATGGGGACTACTTATACGTGTGTCTGTTTTGGAGAAAGGTCAAATTGTTAAAAGAACTGTTACAGAACCACTGGCTATTAAAAATACACATTTGCCTTCTCCTTCACATATAAATTCATTTTAACTATAGTCTCTAATACTGAGAAAGAAAGAGTGAAGCCATTCAGACTAGTGAGACGTAATTGGCTTGTGGGATTTAAAAGATGTTTTATTGACTATCTATTTATTTGAATCTGCTTACAATGAAAAGAAAATGTCTAATATGTAAAGTAATGAATGAAAAAAATGTTTATCCTAAACCATTATTGAGTACAAATCCACAGCTTAACAATGTGATTTAAAAAGGAAGCAGGAGAGCATGCAACTGCTCTAACACACAGGGTTAGAAATAAAAGGCTAAAGTACATTTGTTTTGGTAATTCTAAATATACAAATATAATATTTACCAGATCTACCCTGTAGTGTAGCACTGCTTAATTTCCAAATATACAGTCATTCAAAAACCTTAAGGAAACATTAAAAATGTTCCAGGCTACTTTACTGAACGTTAATGAATATTGTTTTCATGAGATATTAGAGCTAAAAATGCTATTGTTTTAAAGTTAAATGGCTAAAGGAATAATAAAAGTATCATTATTTTATGTTTCTTTTAATCCCATGAATGGCTTTATGTTAAAGGGATCAATTATGTTAAAAGGAGACTGATCTGACAAACAGAAATCAGTTCCAGAATCAGAGTTGTCTTCTTGGTAGGATGTCAAAATTTACAACATCTCTAAAGCATTTTCATATTAATCTACTCAAATAATTCTAAAGTTAATCAGGGGGTCCCTATTTAACACTCCCTTTATTCTACACTGGCAGTTGGAATGGAACCCCTATAGTGCTACTGAGGAAAAGTTCTCTAGGCTATGATCTGACCCTCAAAATGACATCCACGTTTAGCGTTAAATTACTGACCTCTAGGGAATAAGGAATCAAAGACATTGAGAGGCACAGAAACGATATTTTGGTGGGGGACAAGGGTGAAGATTAAGTTGGAACATTTAGTCCCTTCTACAATCAAGTCCTAATTATACCATAATAAAGTCTCAAACAACCCCTGATTAGTTCTTCCCCTTTAGGAATTACATACTATATAGTGATTAGATACTGAAGAAAATAAAGAAAAACATTTGAAAATACATGAAGAAATAGAAACATGGAATTTCTCACAAGGCCCTGGATCAAAAAAATTTACAAAGAGATCTTTTGAAAATAATCACTATTTGTGAGCTTATTAATACACAGAGATCATCACTTTGTTTAAACTAAGTCAATGTTAACTTACCAATAAAATAGTAAACAAACCAACATTTTAAACAATTTTATAAATTACTTGTCGTTTCCTTTGTTAGTGTCACTCTCTCAACAATATACAAAAATAACGCTACAGGACTATCCACCTAACCTGTCTCCATCTCTTGCAAAGTCCTGGGCCCTAGAAAGAGACTGGTCATCAATCTTCACTGTAGATGTCCCCCGCAAAGGGCAGGTGCATGTGGCTGCCAGTGACATTAGGCAATCGAGATAAGTCTGGCAGGCTCTGGATCCGGGACCTGAGTTCTTTGCGCACCAGGGAAACTCTGGCTAACTTGCGCTTGTATTCCTGTAACATCAAACCACTTTCATTAGCATTCTGGGAGTTCAGAGAAGAGCTATCTAGCTAATGCTCTGCATAAAATCTGGTACTATACTCAGTTAATTCTGAATAAAAAAAGAGGATTACAATGCCAGCTTTAGGATCAAAAGAGGGACTTGGGAAATATACAACTAAGTAAATTCTATTATTATTATGAAAAACCACAATCTTAATCTGTTGTTTCATACCTGTAAAAAGACTAGTGTATTAATATACTTAACCTCAGCACATAAGATTTTCACAAGTCCTTGAGCTGGGACAAGAAAAATTACACATTTATTTTCACAAACCAAAACTGAAAGTTAGCATTGTTTCCATTGTAAATGTTGGCAATGAACCAAAGAAGTATTATCAGGACCTTTGCATTTATCTCCAATAGACACCAATTGCTTTAATATTACATTACAGTTTTTTACAACTATCTTGAAATACTGTTTACATTTATCATTACTTTGAAATCATGGTAGTAGTTAGACCGACCACAAAATGTTATTTAATGTGTCAATAAAGAAGCATATATTACTGTACAAATTTTATTATTTCAATAACTACACTTCAATATAACTTGTTTCCTTTGTAATGCTATGCATTTTATTTCCTATATCTAAAATATTTAACTTGAGAAGGGGTCCAAGGCTTCACCAGACCACCAAAGAATTCCAATGGCACAAAAAAGGTTAGGAAACCCTGCAACAGTAGCAGTCAGAGACGGGAAACCAATCAAGATCATGTTTGTCTTAGAGGGAAACAGCCCCTTCTCTAGAGTGGAAATATCTCTTTTTAACTGAAGTTTCCAGACTTCCACATGGGGAGAGAGGATCTTTCTATAGTCCACTACCTAGTGGACGTGGGATGTAAAGGGGGGAACCTAGAAAATGGGTGTTCTTCCTTCTGGAAAGAATAGAACCTCTTCCCTCCCTCTAACCAAGGCTGATCTCACAAACAAGACAGAGCAGGTGAGTGATAACCTTTCATTTTGGGTAGAAGGCCTATCCACAAAGAGCCATTCTTCTTTAGTGTTTCTCAACTCTGACTGTACACCAGAAACACCTAGGAAATTCTGGAAGAAACTCAGATTTTTCGAGAGAACTCCAGCCCCACTACATATCAATTAAATGTGAATCTCTGGAAGTGGGTCCAGAGCTCGTGAATTCTGTAAAAGTTCCCAAAAGCATGTTAATACACAGCCAGAGGGGCCGGCTCCATGGCTTAGCTGTTAAGTGAGTGCACTCCACTACTGGCAGCCCGGGTTCGGATCCCGGGTGCGCACTGACCCACCGCTTCTCCAGCCATGCTGAGGTGGCGTCCCACATACAGCAACTAGAAGGATGTGCAACTGTGACATACAACTATCTACTGGGGCTTTGGGGAAAAAGAGGAGGAGGATTGGCAATAGATGTTAGCTCAGAGCTGGTCTTCCTCGGCAAAAAGAGGAGGATTGGCATGGATGTTAGCTCAGGGCTGATCTTCCTCACATACACACACAAAAAATATACAGCCAGAATTGTGAACTACTTCTCCAAAGTTTTTCTGCCTAAAATGAAATCAACCAATGAGGTTTCTTTGTATTACTGACCTCCTCTTTTAAGGAATAACTACAACTGGGGAAATGGAAAGTGTTCAACAAAACAGATGAGGTCTCCCGCCTTCACAAAGCTAACATTTCAGGGGGAAGGAGGCATAAAAAACATACAAATATTATTTCATGTATAAATACAATGAAGAAAAGAAAGTTGGGCAACAGGAGAATAAAATGCAGCAATGTAGGGGGGAGAGTCAAGGCTACTTTACAAGTAAACAAAAAAAAAGAGGATTAAGGGTTTAAAACTTTTAAGTTTCAGAACCCACTGACTTAGAGGAGACTGACTTCCAGCACAACAGCAGGAGGAGCTCAACTGACCCACTTCCCAGGGAAACTGGTGAGGACTATTTTTAAAAACCACAATAATCACTTAAAACCTCTGGAAATGATCCTAAGGGCAAAGAAACATCTATTCAAGAAAATGTATGAAAATTCAGTAAGAAAGACAAGAATCTGTGGCATCTAAGCCAAGATGCTCCCTCCCTCCCCACACCCAGCTCAGTACTGCAGCCTCCACTTTAGACTGCTGCAGACCAGATCACAGGGATCACTCTCCCTGCAGCACCCAGACAGAGGGCTTTATTCCTGGGAGGGGCAGGACATCAGCATTTCTCAGCCTACCCCCAGCTACCTGATACTAAGGCTAAGTCTCAAGAGAGTGTGTAGTTAAGAGTCTCATTTGTGAAACAGAGGCTCTACCTTGCATGTGAGAATACTGGGGCACTGGTAACCCTTGCCCCCAACTCAAGAGGTGGTGCTCTACACCAGAAGAGGCATGCTGAGAGGAACAAAGGTTGCTGCACTCCTCCCCTTCACCAAGAGCTCAGCCCCTATAGCAAGGATATTACTCCAAGAAAAGCTTGCCATTGTCCCCACCCCTAGTTCCAGAGCCCTGACTCAAAGATTTGGCTGAAGGAAGAAGCAGACAGTAAAACAGATAGATCCTAATCTCTTCACAAAGGAACTGACTTTATTAACAAAAACAGCAAGGATTTGCAAACTCTGCAAATCTATGTACAGCTTGGTGACTAGAGTTAATAATACTTTGTTGTGTAGTTGAAATTTGCTGAGAGCAGACCTTAAGTGTTCTCACCACACACACAAAAGTTAACTATGTGAAGTGATAGATGTGTTAATTAACCTGATTATAGTAATCATTTCACAAAGTATAAATACGTCAAATCATCATGCTGGACATTTTAAATTTATACAATTTTATTTGGCAATTTTACCTTAGTAAAACTGTGGGGGAAAAAAAGAAGAAATATCTCTCTTTTTTCTACTAGTAAACCAAAAAAAAACTACCTTAAGCATGACAGAGAAAACAAACATGGGCCCAGTGGCAAATATGTATCAAAGAAAGTGAGAGGTGTTGCAGCCTCATCTGAAAAGCCAATCAATAGGTAAAGCCACTACATGTTTTATAAATCCCTCTCACACTCTTCTCATTCTTTTCTAACAAAACCAGCATTTTGCAAATAGCTTTCAAAATGCTTATTTTGTGTTTTAACTTAAATAACTTTTCTTTCTAAATGAATTTAATTCTGTTCCAGCCCCAAAGAAGGACCTGAAATTTAAATTTAAATAAAAAATTGCCCAAAAGCCAAACCATTAAAACATTAAGCCTCTCCTTTTAGCAGTGAATACTAAACTGATATATACTGCTTTTACTGCAAATTTATAATATTCTAGCTATTTTGTGGGTTTAAAAGCCTTTTGATGCAAATCAAAAGCACAATGAGGTGACGTACGGATCATGGCGGAGTGAGCTTTCCCCAATGAACTCTCCCCCTCTAAGACACAACAAACAAGACATTCATATACCAAGAGAAGTTATTCACACAACACAAGGGACATCTGAGGGACCCACACAGCCGTACATCCAAGGGCGTAGGCGCTGGAATCCCCAGAGGAAGTGCAAGGAGGTAAGAGGAGCTCCCTGCCTTCCCTAAGGACTGCGAACCTGAGACAGAGACCACGTGGCTCTCTGAGTGAGGCGGGTAGGGGCGGCCCTCCAAGGAAAAACCAGTGCTCTCCAAGATCCCTCACAGCCTGTGGGGAACTCCCCTATGGAGAGAGCAGAACTGTGGCACGGATGCCTTTGACAAGCCAGCACTTCAGGAGAGCACAGAGTGACAGGGAAGCAAGAAACCCCTGGGATCGGGGAGGCGAAAGTAAGCGTCCCGCTCCCCTCCACCCCCGACGCCCACCCGGTGCTTCAGTACAGCAGCCCTGCAGCTTCAGCTCAGTGGTGCTTCAGCTTGGCTCTGACTCCAGCCCCAGTGGCTCCGGCTGGCTGGGATAAGATCGTGCCACAGCCCCAGCTGCCCTGGCTCGACCGTGCCACGGCCCCAGCTGCTTCTGCTTGGCCGCACTCAGGCTCCAGCTGTTTTGGCGTCAGCTACTTCGGCCCAGCTGCACTCCAGCTCCAGCTTCTGTGGCCCACCTGCACTGCAGCTCCAGCTGTTTCGACCCAACTGCACTTCAGCTCCAGCTGTTCCCCGTGCTCCAGCTCCAGTTGCTTTCGCACTGCCACCCTGAGGCTTGGCTGTGCTCCAGCACCAGCTTCTACTGCCCAGTCGCGCCCGAGCCAGCTGCTTTGGCCTAGCCGTGCTCCAGTCCCACCTGTTCCCAGGCTCCAGCTCCAGCCCCAGCAGCCTCCGCTTAGCCGCACTTCAGGTCAACCATGCTTCAGCCCAGCCACAGGCCAACCAGAGTACCCGCAGATTGAGGAGGGCTCAGAAGACACAACTCTTGACCCTCACTGAGTGGCGCAGGAGGAAATTGCGACCAGATATCTTCAGAGTGAGGAAAAATAAGCCAACACCATCAGGCACTATGCAAAAATATATTAAATCTTCAAACAAGAAGAAAAATGACAAACACCCAGAAATCAACCCTGAAAGCACAGAAAGGTATAACCTTAATGACAGAGAATTCAAAATAGCTATCATAAAAAAGCTCAATGAAATATAAGAAAACAGACAATTCAATGAAATCAGGAATTTTTTCACAAAAGAGATTGAAACTATAAAGAAAAACCAATCAGACATCTTGGAGATGAAAAACAGAATGGAGAAGATAAAGACAAATCTGGAAGCCTTAAGGATCACAGGTGACAATACAGAGGAAAGAATTAGCAAGATTGAGGAAAGCAATGCAGAAATGCTCCAGATGGAGGAGGAGAGAAAACTAAGACTTAAAAGAAATGAAGAAACTCTCCTAGAAATATCCGACTCAATTAGGAAATCCAACATAAGGATTAGGTAGTCCAGAGGAAGAAGAGAGGGGAAAAAGGAGCAGAGAACTTGTTCAAAGAAATAATACCTGAGAACTTCCCAAATCTGAGGAGGGAGCTGGAAATACCAGTGAATGAAACCAATAG